GCCATCATGGAAAAAGCATGCCCGAGGACAAGCCACCAGTTTAAAGCATCAACATGCGCAGACTTATGCTGTGATGACTTCAGCTCCTCCCCATGTTGTCAGGCACAAGACAGTAAAAGATAAGAGGCTAACAATTTAGCTAATCATTGTGCATATTCATACTAAAATTAGGTAAAATAACCACTAAAGCTGTGTTAGGGATCACAGAGATGAAGAGGCCCTAAGAGAAGAAAATGTAGTCTAGACAAGGCAGTGAAATACCAGAGCTATTGTATAGGCACTGATAACACAAGCATCATGTAAAAAATATTCCGGTCACCTACATTTAAAAATTATAAACTCAAATGAACAGGTGCAGAAAGGGCCTGAGGGAGACAGAAAACCTATCAAAGAAGAAGAAACTTAAGAGCCTGGCTTGTTTAGCCTAGCCAAATATAGGCAGAGCGTGGATAGGATAGCTGTCTAAATATATCACGGGAGACAAACAAAACTGCTGAAGCAAAAGGATAATGCTGGCATGACAACAAGAGAATAAATGCAGTGTGAACACATTTAGGTTGAAAATCAGAGGGGGGAAAAATCAGCTATCAAAACTGCAAGCTTTCCAGCTGGAACAGCTGGGTTTAGGATGAAGTCTATACGTGGTCTGATGGGGTTTTAGGATACAGTGCTTGTGCTCACAGATATCCAAGAGGTCTCTTATGCTCCTGTTTTTGTTCCAGCTGGTAATTAGCATGGGTTATTACTGATATGTCTCCTTCCATGCAACAGACTCTGCTGAGGATCACTCCAGTTGAGAACCCAGCGCAAGACGCAGTTTCCTAAGACCTGCTCATCAGTAATGACTTCCAGGCTACAGGTCAGTGGGAGAGAGTTGTATGGATGCACACTGATAAAATGAGAGTTACCAGGCAGCCTTGAAGGAATGCAGGTGTTGCTGTTAGCAATATAAAATACCCTTGAAGTGCCTCTACCCAAAAGCACCTGATGCCCCATGCTGTTACTATCACAGGTTGCTTTGTGTCATCCTGCTGGATTCAGGGGAGAGACATGTTCTAAACCCTCCTCTGCTGCAGTGTAAGAAAGGTAACTGTATCATCACTGGTTATCAGAGAATCACAGAATGGTTTAGGTTGGGAGAGACCTCAGAGATCACCTTTTTCCAGCCCCCCTGATGTGGGCAGGGACACCTTCCACTAAATGAGGTTGCTCAAAGTCCCATCCAACCTGCTCTTGAACATTTCCAGGGTTGGGGTGTTCACAGCTTCCCTAGGCAACCTGTGCCAGTGCCTCACCACCACCAAAGCATTATCATTCTCGGTCCCCAACGTGCAGCCCAACAGGCTGGCGAGTACAGGCACAACAACACAAGAGAGTGTTAAACCATGAATATTTATATTATGGAATAATGAGTGAAATAAGGGAGTGCGTGAACACAAAATCCAAGACCTATTTCAGGGATTAATTTCTGATATAGCTGCCAAATATGACAGCTTCATAAATGACTAAATTATCACTTTTAGACATCGCACTGCCGATAAAACAGGGTTTGACCTCCGCTCCCGGGGACCAAGCAGAGCACCGCGCACACGAGAAATACCGACCCCTCTCCTCCCCAGACAAGCCCCC